TCATATTCTACTCATTCACGAGTATCGGTCCAATCTTTATCAAACACTCTGTGCACACACACATATGTGTGTGTGTGTGTGTGTGTGTATGTGTGTTGCTTTCTAATGAGCGAAATTACAGATGTCAGATCGCAGTTGCCCTCCAAGATATCGAAGTCCACGGCATATATGTATATTTGTTTAGCTTCGTCTTTACTTACGTCGCATGTCGTCAGACGGATGTAACATCAATGACAGAATCAACTAAATACCACAGAAAGCGTGTGTGATATTACGATTAACAGCTATGTAGAACAGTCTACGGTTACTTAACTATCTACTATTTGCAATCGCTTTTATAAAATCCCGAAAAACATCGCGACGTACTATATAATATTCGTTCATCCTAGAACGGCATATACATTCACGCTCGGTTTATAAGTTCATTAAATAAAAATAAAACCGTACCTCAAATAGGAAAGCCTCGCTATTTTAGACTATTGTGTTTCATCTCTTCTCATCAGAGCATTTGTTCGGAATGTAATAAACTTCTTTCTCCCCTTAATTACTTTATCACTGATCGGTGCGAAGCTTTACCCGTTATGACAAACCCGCCCCGCAATTCATGCGAGCGAGTTAGAAAATTGATATGTATTGTGTTTACGCATATCTCCTGGTGCTCTTTCACTTTCATTTTCATTTTTTGGTGTCTCGACAATACTACTAATAATTATACTTTCGAGTTTGGTCAGTATTGAAGCAGCTCAAAGCAGCATTTCTGGTTGTTCTATATGTTTGTATATGTAACATGATAAGGTACATATCTCTTCTTCAATGTTTGTAAACCTATTTGTATACTAATTTGTATTTTAATAAATGAAAAATAATATTCAATAAATTGTTGCCAAATAAAGCATAATTTTCTTATCTCATCATTTTTCAAGCACTTTTGCATCAAAAAGATTAATAATGATCTATCGCAGTTTTAAATTATTGTAAATAATCTTTGACAATTAGAATGTCATTGATTTTTCTTTATTATCGTTTTGCGCATTTATAGACAAAATTAATTATCAGATTTTTATTCCAAAGTCAATTTATAACACTGAAAATCAAATATTTAGTGTTAAACACGACATTGAATAGAGATGAGAGTTATATGACTTTTGAATAATTTTACGGTACTATCCAGATTTTAGGATCTCGAGGTTCGATCCTATCGCAAGATCTTCCCATGAGGACGGAGTCGAGATCAATATGAAAAAGATCAAAAGTAAAAGCAGAATGATATTTCTGCGTGATTCTTACGTCCGTCTCGATCTTTTCTGGCGCTATCATTACGATCTGATCTAACATCGAGTGGTGCACATTAAAGTTGTTTCACAGCGTGACATAGTCTTGTGAGGTCTATTGGTAATCTTTGGATCAATACATTGCCATCTTTGGTGATCTTGTATTTTCGAATCTTGCTTTATTTCCCTCTTCGATTAACTTTACGCAGGCTTACGCTAAGCCTCCTTATGGTAAATTAGAGATTTTTTTAATTGTTTTCAGCATACAAAAATCAATCTAGTTGTAATTTGCCGGGGAATAAATTTATGCACATTAATAATTCGATGTTACTACAGCGAGAGCATGCCCTTTCGAAGAAAAAATTGTACAATCGATTACAATTTAAGATTGTTTCAGTCTGTAAATAATATAAACTGCATATATTTTTTAATTTTCGAAATATTTGAAACATCTTATATATATGTATATTTGCCAATTCATAAAAATAATATATTTATAGATGTAGTACAAATTCAAATAATATATTAATATATATTTTCTCCTTTTTTTCGATATCTTTATCAATTTATAATAAAAAAAAATAATTTTCCATTTATACGTTTTATTCGTTATATATCGTTTGTACGACTTTTTCTCAAGTTTCCAATAAAAGATAGTATCGATATTTTTGTTCAAGAATAAAAGGCGCGGTCCGAATGCTTTTAAGGGTCCCAATCACGATCGCATTTAGTGCGTTATGCATGATTCGCTTCAACGATATGTTCCATTGTATATGTATATGCCTATACATATATGTGTATATATACACGTATATAAAAAAGAAATGAAACGGACTCGCTAGAATAATTTCCTCTAGAGACGGTACAAAATATCTGATTGACATGTACTTCTCGCCCCCTGTACTTTAACACGCGCGATTTATATATAATTTTTTTCTTTATTTATATATATCTATCTGTAGATATATGTATATATATACTTCTTCATAATTTATATTAACCTCTAATATTCTTACGCAATTACCACTCTATGTAATGTAATAATAGCATACTGCCTACTGATATGTGTTAGTTCACTTTTGTAAAGCACTTTAAAATTCAATCTAATTCTCGATTCATCGATTCCGATGACAACGAATCCGCCTCCGAACGGCTAATTATAAAATAACGAGCCATTGAATACACCGAATAATGCGTTTATTACGCCGCATCCTCGCAAGATCGACGATCATCCCTCGCGATCGCGATACTCGAGCGATCACGGCCGCGTTATTCAAACTTGTCTTGTGTATTACTTTTATCGCTATCTTTCTTCCGCTATATAGAAACTTTTCCTATTTCTTCTCTTGTATTCCCGACAGATTTGAAACTCTTAATAAGTCTCTTCTTATTTATGATATTGTTGTATCCTATTAACCCTTTGCGCTCAGATGTAACTGCTTTTTTTTTAATTTCAAAGTATGCGTTACGAGGGCATGATGATATTTTTCAAATAAAAAGGCCAACCATGTGTATGAAAGTCATTTCATCTTCAATAATATACGAATTTATTTGAATTATTTGATTAAGGTGATGATTAATCATTTCTTTTTATATTTGCGATATCATCGATGTTCTTTAATGTGAGGAAAGTTCTAAATCTTAGTCCGCTTCACTGCTTCTCGAATTATAAATGTAAGGCCTCGATTCAATTACAACTTATATTAGACTTTCTAAAGTTTTGTAAATCACATTTTGCATTGCAGTGGCTTGTTAATTAACAATATTAAATCCAAAACACAAGTAACATTGCAAAATAACCTTTTTCTATCTGACAATTATATGTATATCGTTGATATATAAATAGAACTCACAGAGAAGAGTGCAAAGGGTTAAAGCGGAAACTCAAATATTCATCTGAATAATGTCATTCTATTTTATCACGTTATCTTCTTCTTTTTCACGCGTGTATATTTCGTATGTTCGCGTCAAATCTCAGTATCGCAAAGTGATATTTCTAACATGGTGCATTCCAGTCGCTTTCTGTAGAAAAATAAAGAACGTGCTGGCGCGATCGTGACTTGACAATCGATGATGACGATGATAGACGATCAGTGACGACGGATGACCGATCAGTTCGCCCGAGCGCGCCGGTAAATGATCGCTATTATCGACATAGTCCACTGTTAATCGGCGGCTACTTTTATTTTTTAAGTAACTTTCATTCTCATTAATTGCGTGTAATAAATGCCCAGTGATACAACGGAGGATAGAAGGATTGATTGTGAAACTCATGCAAGGACTCGTCGGCGGAAAATCATCTGCATAAGATTATTGAAAGTTGCTCTTACAATTTTCAAATTTATAGCTATTTATCAAAATATCTCGTGTAATAATTAATGCAAACATAATTATCATATAATACTTTTAAAAATATAAACTCATTGAGATTCTGCATTAAAATTGAATATAATAATAATACGATTCGAATTTTTAAATATGCTTATACATGCACTCTTTACATAAGAGTACAATCAATGTATAGAGTATATGGAATACAATATAGAATTATAATACGTGTCACAATAGACTTTCAGAGAGAAACTTCCAACTATGCCAAAGAGGAATTATTACCAGCTACGTCCATTACAGATTTTCACGAGTGCAATCATTTCGAGAAACGCGTTTTGCTCAAAGCTTCGCTAAAGACCCACCTTTGATCCTCGAATCATTACGGGATCTTTAGTGCATCCTCTTTGCAGCCTTCCGCCACTGAGAAAGCAAGACGGGAAGAGGGCTAGGAAAAGAGAGTACGGCAAGGCGACAAAATGGTGAATTGAGGAAACATATTTCAGGTCGCATGTGTAGAGAAGTGCCGGGAGTTTCTCTCTTTGGGAGCTTGAAAAATCAAGACAAGACCTATATACGTAAACGCGCTACCGATTACAGCTTGTGACTCGACCAACAGGAAGGCACTTGGGCAAATTACGTGCCGAGTTGGCCGCCGTTTCTAACACGCGGGGCACATCACCTCCACTATCATCCTCCTTTCTTCCGCTCTTTTTTCCTAATTTTTTTGCCTTACGAAAAGGCAGATGGTTGTTCAAGTTTTCTTCTCGATGCTTCTGTAATTCTTGTCTACAGACTTAACCCTATGATATGTTCGCGTTCGTTATGTATATATATATATATATATATATATATATATATATATATATATGTGTATATATAAGAGATTATTACTTATAATCCCATATCCTCTTATTTAATATTCATTCTCTCGATGTAGTCGTTCTCTACTCCCTTCCTTCCCCTCTTTCTCTCTCTCTCTCTCTCTCTCTCTCTCTCTCTCTGTCTTTCTGTTAACATACATACATTTTCTCACAGTTGCACTTTCATTCATACTTTCTCGCTTGCATTTTTCTTGAGATATTTTCATGTAATAATGCAAACTGAATCGGATTTTATCTATCTTTCTTTCTCACATTCTCTCCCTCCCTCCCTCTCTCTCTCTCTCTCTTTCCCTCCCTCTCTCTCTCTTTCTCTCTCTCTCTTTCTCTCTCTCTCTCTCTCATTCGCTTTATTCTCATCTTCACCTAGGACATTAGACTCTCCTTAACAAGATACAATAGTTAAAAGTACGCGCATTCGTGCTTCGCGCGACACGCCGATGATAAAACATAAATACACGCTTCTTAGGGCACCTTTGGTATTAAGCTTGATGTATTCATCTTCGTCTCACTTGTTCCGTTTTAGTATGTAGAATGTGCAATTTTGTGTTGGAGCCGCCATTAAGATTTGCATTGAGCTAATCCGCGTCAATCATTGAGCCAATTTCTTTTATTCGAGTTTTATAAAATTACTTCTTCGATGGCATGCATAATTTAAAAAGCTCGAGTTCGATATGTATTTATTTAGCAAATTTTTGTAGACATTTTTTCTTCGAAACAGTAAATTATCATCGAATTGTTATGATACATTGCGGATGTATCGTAAAATTGCATCGTGTCGCTTTAGAGTTTCTGAAAAAATTTCTACGATCGCATGTATATGTGTATATGTGTGTAAACAAACATCGCAATATAAGCGTGAGTGTCGAAGAGTGCCTTCTCTCTTTACATATGTATACAAGAAATGAAATCCACTTCCTTGCTTCGTATTGCTTCGCTCTTTTGCTTTTTTCTCTTCGATCCCTCTGGTACCATCCCATCTTTTTCTCTCACTTCGTCGTCGTTCGATCGCGATCAAAGATACGGTGAAAATAAATAGTAGGAAAAGGTAGGTACGCGAATCGATAAGTTAAGTTCGTTAAAAAATATATATACCTAGGAATATTACGTGATTATATTGGGCCCCCGCTAGAGTCGCGCGAACCAACACGCCTCGTTCTGCAATGTTGAAAAATTTACAAGAATTTGCCTACCGATATGTTTGCTGTATCCCTTTCGATAGAAGAACGATCGAAAATTTTTCGCTCATCTACCTACAATTTCTACGTCTCTCCTCTTTTTCTCTTTTTTTCTTATGTGTGTTCGTATGTTTATGTGCTCCCGCATTTGCGATGTTTCCTCGCGATTTCCCGCCGATATGTCGACCATTCGAGTCTTCTTGCGTGGTTCTTCCACATGTTTCATTTTCTGATTGATGTCCTATCCGGCGAGAGCGCACCTGGCCATCTTCTCATACCAGCTGATCCTCTCCCTCTTTACATACCGTTGATATCGATCTTAAGGTTGGCCGTTTTCTTGTCTCTTTGATCCCTGAAAAATCGATACAAATGATTAGGATAATTCATGATATGACACATTCAAAACATGTAAAATGTTTAATTGTAACAGGATCACGCACATATTCATCATTAATACGAAATTCCTTTCAGATGAAATTAATCACTCCCTGTGAGAATACGACAATTTTCTCACTATTATACAGTAACCTTAATGAATATATATATATATATATATATATATATATATATATATAAGAAAAAAAGTTGCATCATCTTCGTACTATAATTAATTATTAACACTATTGCTCACGCACAAATAAAACGCGAAAATATACAAAAATAAAGTAAAAATACAAAAGAAATTTAATGATCCTAAGAATTGAAATTTTCGAGAGAAATTAAGTTTTGAACATTCAAGAGTTGAAGGATACAAATGTCCAAAGGTGCGAGGATCCATGGCTCCAAAAGTCTGACGACTACTCATAACGGATTTCTTAATCCTGATGCTCAATAAGTCACATATGGTGACAGTTTGAAGAAAGACTCAGTCGAGAGTACCAGACCAAGGATGAAAGAACAACCTACATTTGTCTTGTTTCCGAATAAAGAGCGTCCGCGTGAAGCTGAAGAGATGACGTCTTGCCATTGAGTAATTTGCGTACCTCATTAGAACGTGACTATGCTGAAAAGCGCTCTTTCACGGTCTGTTCAAAGCTTTCAGTCGATGAAGGGGTGCACACACGACCGAAGGAAGGAGAATACAATATAGGGGAAGCAAAATGTGAGGATACAGATGGATATATTGAATTTTGTCCCGTCTTGGGAAAAAAAGTCCCGCGGGAACAAACAGAGATTTTATGAATAAAAACATATTTGCATGCCACAGCGAATTCAAAACAACATGAATAAAAAAACAAGATATCATAAACCTTATGACAATATTTTTTCTCATGATATTCAAATATTATCAAAGCCTTTAAATATTATATAAAAGAAAAGTCATACTAGTCAGAATACTTCATATGTATATTCAATATTCACAGTTAAAAATAATATATTTAAATAAAGAAAAGAATATCTTACTCAAAAGAACATCTTCGATACTCTTCGTTTTCCATTCAATAATTGCATAGAAAGATTTTCTCAACTAATAAAAAACGTAAATGACAGATTTTTTTCTAATATACTCTTGTATATAGAAATGTAAAAAAAACCATTTTATTTTAATAGAAAATAAACATACATAAAAAAGATGTTTCTATTTTTATTAAAAAAGAATAAATATTTAATTTTCCATTTTTTTATGTAATATTATTTTCCTTCAATTTTGTTAATATAATAAAAAATCACAATTCTTTATATTTTTAGTTTATTTTTTTCGAAAGTAATTGTAATAAATTAATGAGATTTTTGCAGCATTATATGAAAGACATGATTTAAATAATTTTCAGGTAGATGCATAACGAACATTTACATCTAAATTATTCGAATTATGCCTTGTTTGATATCATTTTAGTAAAAAATTATTATTTCGTAAATTATATTTCGTTAATTATTGTCAAAAAAATAAATTAAAGATATAAAAATTTTAATTTTTTATATTAAAATAGTAACTATATAAAATATAATTTTTTTTAAATTTAAACAGTATTTTTGTATCTATAATAAAAACAATTCATTCAAGTTCAATTTTGATTTGTTTTTAAAAAATTTATCTAATAAAAATGATAATTATATAACTACATAGCCAACTAGAATGCGATTTCCATTTAAAATAGTTATTTTTAGTTCAAATTTATCATCTTAAACACATAAGAAATAAAGAAAAATCAACTTATAATAATCAAAATATAAAGATATTAAATATCAGAAAAAAACAAAATTTTTGGAAAAAACGAGATTAATGTTTTTTTTCACAGAAAACCATATTTTATAAAAATAAAAACATTTGGTTTTTTTGTTTACATCTCTACAAATATATAAGCTAACAATAAAACAAAAAATATTCATTTAAGATAGGATGTGTTCATTTATTTTATATATATATATATATATATATATATATATATATATATATAAAGAACAAGTATTTTAATTCTTCGAATGTTCTACATCAGATGGATGAGGTGTAGTGCTAAATATCTTTATGAAACGTAAATTAATGATGACGTGTTGAACAGTGCCCAGCCCCAAGCGGACTGTATCGATCGTTTAATTCGAAAATGGGAAGGTCGATCCATGGTTGCAACTTCATTTATAGCGTGACCAATCGCAACTTTTCGGCTTTATGTATAAATAAACAAGTTGCGACACGATCGTAACCGCAAGTGAACAGTATCGATCCATCGAGTTCAAAGGGTAAGGTCGGGCGATCCGGAGCGCTCTTTTTTAGTCGCCGATCAATTTTAGGTGACACACTTTTGCCCCTACATGAATCCATTTTCAGACGATTTCAAGTGGATTATTAAATCCTTCAACTCTAGAATTTTTCAGTTCTATATTTCAAAAAATTATTCTTTCAATGAAATATCTAAATTCCTAAAAAAATTAACTGTATCAAAATTATCGTGTAATTATTATTAATTTCGTCTCGCTAAAAACTAAAAGATAAGATTGTAATTATAAAAAAATAGCAAATCGCTAAATCGATAACTTATTTTATTCAAATTACTAGTTTCTTGGATTAAAAAAATCTTGTACATCATTGTATACTAGATTCTTAAAATCTTTTTTATTTTAAATGATTATCTTTTATTTAATTAGAAGATGATGCAAAATTATTTTCTTAGCTCGTATATTGTGCGTCAAGTATCACGTACAAATATTATGATTGTCATATTTTACAGAAATATTATTACTACTCTATTTCGGCCAAACGAACAACTCTACCTAGCTTCATTTAACGCAGCTTAATTACTTAGCTAATTAATTAGTTCAATCCTTTTAACGATTGGATAACCTGCGAGTTAAACTTAGTCCAACCCTTAAATTACGCAAGTAAGATCGATCCTTAAATGTCCGACGAATTTTCCTTTATCAGCGAAAATACGATCTTGATTAAAAGCGGAACCTCAGAATCATCATTTGTGTCTGACTTTTCTCTTTTTTATTTTTTTTATCTACTTTTTACTATAATTCTTAGAATTAATTTCGTTTAAACTGCGATGAGAATTAAATCAAGGAATAAAACTGACGCGTATCAATTTCTTCTTAATTTTTATACATTTTAAAATAAGTTTCTATAAACATTTAAAAGGAAATAAGAGAAAGATATGTCTATGTGTGTGTGTGAGACCTTACATGTAATGTAAAAAATAGAAACAATTATATTTGAATTAAATTTTAAAAATATGTACAAACTTAAAAAGTATTAAATACAAAGAATTAAAAATATTTTATCATCACATATTTTATAATCATTAATAAAAAAATACTTTCAATAAAATTGATTTTAATATCTTATATACTCAATTATTTCCAAGCATTATTTTACAGCCAATTAATATACTATTAAAATATTGCTACAGGTAGGTGCATAGTGCTCGACGCATCTATATAATACAGTCATAAAATAACTGATTCAATACAACAAAAATCAACATATAGAGTAGAAAAGGATTTTATATGAAGGAAATTATGTAAGAACGAGCAGCTCAACGAACAGGCATCAATATAGAAGGAATACAATGAGAAAAAGAAAGAATCTAAGATATGTAATTTAGACGAGTTCAATCTTCAATATTACAGATATAAAAAACCTACTTTACCTTACTATCAAATATCGCGTTTCTATTGTCAGGCATATATATTGTAATCATTTTTTTTATCTGTTTTTATCTGTAACATCGTAAGATTTGAACTCTACGCAATTGCAGCGATTTCAGTCTTTATTTGGAATAGCGCGAAAAATGAAAAAGAATACAATTGTAAGAAGAAGTAAAACCTAAAGAAAAGAAAAACCTAAAGGATCGATGAAAATCAAATATCTTGAAACACATATGTCAATCGTATGATAAAAACAAAAGATATAAAAAAGAAAAACGAACAGAGTCGTAATTCTGGTTTTCGCACGATCAGTAAACGATTAACAGGTGTATAATTGGCGACTGGCTATCGACACCGACGCGCGAATGTGTATTTCTTGTTAAAATGCGAATCCTCTAGCGGGACAGCCATCGTCGGTCTTTTGATCGAATTTAATTGGTTTTTAAAGTGATGGCCTGTCTCTGTCACCTCGAAGCGCAAACGCTTTCGAGAGGCGAAACTGCGCAAATTAGATTAAATAATGATCCAGGATCGATTCCACCAGGCCCAATGCATTTCGGTGCCGATAATAAAAGCAAAGATCGAAATCGGTATATCATTTCAATGACATGAATCGATCTTCAATGCTATAGATACAGAAAGATATATTTTCGTTCAGAATTTTTTATACAGTCTTATAAATATGATTATCATTTTTCTGTGTCTATAGTCTACAATTCTAATGTCATCGAAATTATACCAGTCTTTCGATCGAAAACGCATAGCTGTGTTTAGAATTTCAACAAAAGCCATTGTAAATGTAATTTTAAACCAAATTCTTGTATATACAGATTATTATAAAATATAATACTATATTTTATAATACATATTTTTGCAAATTTATTATTACATATTATTATAAATTATTATTATATATAATTATATTTATACAAACGTTAATATCTGTGCTTTAAATTTATATTTTTTTTTAATTTTATGTTATTTGAGCAAGATCATAAATTGCAGTATATCTCTTTTCCAGAAAGAAAAAAATTTCATTTTCTTATGTCAAGAAAATCTAGCTTGTAAAGTGCTTTTTTTTAAAAGCATCTTAAATGCTTAATATAATAATAATAACTATTATTAGTATGCAAAAAGAAAGTGAGCGAATATGAAATGTCAATGATAGCACAGCTCTACGTATTCATGGTTGATCACATCTTTGCAGAGGCGGCTCTATTATAGGGCAGACTAAACGACCACCCAGAGCCTCGCATATGTGCAAGGGTCTTGTGCTAGACCACAGTAAACATTCATCTTAAGGGCTTAGGCGCAAGCGAGGACCCTGGGTGTTCGAAGCTTCGAGTACGCAAACTCCACGCTTGACCGCAACAAACGCCCTCTTCATCGAGGCTCTCGACATGTGCAATATACGCAAGAAATGCTTTTGCGTTTCTAAAGTACCTTGTGCATGCCAAGATCTTTCTTGGAACCATCGTCTTCGCCCTACATAGACACAGAGAAGATAAACACCGAGGACCTAGTACGCGAAATCTCGCCTATCTCAAATAGAGCCGCCCCTCTTTGACGTCCTTCGCAGCGGTCTATTGTAGCATAAAGTGGAACCTACTTCGATCCAGAGATTTGTAAAGCCCACCTCGGCCATTTTTGACTTTGCATATTCGATTCGTATCGCTCCCCGGTCGGAGGAGAGGAGAAAGGACCCTTGGAGAGTGGCCATCGCCTGGGCCGCGTAGCGAACGTCTTGGTATTCGACAAAGGCCACTGGCGACCCTCCCTTCGTGTGCATACGAAGCCGGGAGAAACCAGGAAAACTGTGCACAAATAAGAGAAGCGTACAATACGTGCTCTAGTTAGTCGTAAAGACAGTACTAGTAAGAAGGGGGGGGGGGTTAAGGGTTAAACGAGGGTCTTGGTTATTGCTTGGTTGCCAATGATGATTGTCAATGATGTCGGTGGTGTTAGGCGGTGCCAACATAAAATGATTACACGGAGGGGATGCGACATCAATTCAGAATCAAATTCAAATCGTTAACATCTGAATTATTTTTTTCGATATACAATGTATGCGAATAATTATTTAATATATTAAAATAAAATTTTAATATATTACATGTACTCTTTTATAATGTATTTTATATAAAAATTAAAAGATAAAATATAATTTCTATATATCTTGCAAAAAATATTTGGAAAATATTACTGTGTTGTATAATTCTAGATAATTAAATATCACGTAAATAATAAAGTAATTTATCTTTTAGTATCTATTATTAATATTATTTAAAAAATATAAGTCATAAAGTATCATTTATTTTATATCACATAATAAAATAAGATTATTACAAATTTTCTTTTCTATTTTGAATCATTAGGAGGATTACTCTTATCGTAATCCTTCTGAATAAATTCACTGGATTAAATTTACTTGCAAATCCGTGATTAGACCGATTGTTCGCGACATCGGGATATTACCCTCCGTGCAATTGTGTTCGGCACACCGACAATTAGTAAACGACACTGGTCGCATGATATTGGTACGGGTACTAGTACAGGTGCGTCCTATATGCCTACAATCTACGACGGTGGCAAATGATTAGCGGATGTCGGTGATGTTTGGAGGCGGTGCTATTAGTTACAAAGCTTTCGGCGTTCACGGACTTGCACAATCTCAACACCATCGCGCTCCAGGCGGAGCGATGAAATTTAGATGCAGATACTTGATGCTTCGTCGTTTACCTTCAGCGTCGATTACTATGGTTATTGACCTAATGCGTTTACTTTGCTGATCGCAGATCCACAGAGAGAATAAACGTAAATCAGAATCCGCAAATTCAGAGACTAATGCATACACAAACTTAAGAATAATGTATCTGTAGCTCTACAAATAGATTTATATAACTGTCTGGAATAATCCCTGTCCCCATTTTTTTGTTACAACAGTATATTCTTAGTTTAATATTTCAAGTTGGTTTCTCATATGAAAAAATTAGAAAAAAAGTATGTAATTATCGAAAGTTAAATAATATGTTCAAGATTAAAGATTAAAAATTATTATAATAATTATACATTGATTAATTATAATCAGTCACATTCTAAAAATATTTTAAAGTTATTATGAGAAAAAATCAAATCTTTAAAAGAAAATTACAAGGATTTAAAAACTGTAAGTTAAAAACTGTAAGTTAAAAATCTAGAGATATTAAAATATAAATAAATAAAATGTAAAATATAAACTCGCATTGTATGATCTACAAGTTTCCACGACTTTCAATAAAATATTAATTATTTAACGTACTTAATTTCAATAATATTCAAAAATATTTTGTCGCGAAATGTTAACTCCACAAACGTATTTTTATTCTAGCCTACCAATGCGTAATAATTACCTGTGCAAGAACAATGGTCGAATTACACACGACCAACACAATGCATTCATGTTGCCGACAACGAAATTCTGTCGAATACTCCCGTGAGCTACCGAAAATTGCAGAATGCGCAGCGCGCCTCCCGCACGTGCAAACGCGTGTAATTAACTCAGGCACTCACTTACGAATTCATACTGCAGAACTGCGGGGTTTGCGGAATAATGAGATTTCGCGGGCTAATTATACGAGAGGGGAAGAAGGGCTTCTCTATTGGCGACAGAACTTGCAAGACAGTCGCGCACAGACTTCCGTCATGGGCGAAACTCGAAAGAATAAAACGCTGATTACGATTCATATACTGTATCGAGGAAATTGTTATTAACGAGCAATTAAATTGTTAACGTGTAATGATTCTTATATCTCGCGACGTAAAATTAAAATATAAAAATGTGCATAAATATTAATTAAACTTAATAGCAAATACGTTAATTGATATCATTTGTAAAACAAGGAGATACCTTTAAAAAATAGCAAATTATCTTAAATTAACTTTATTAAATAAAATTTTGATTAAATTATTCTGTAAAATACAAGAAGTGTTAGATTTTCATTCTCCGAGAAAGATATTTGATGATTATTTGTACTAATTTAATATAATTTGCAATTTAATATAATTTTTCAGGTAAGATACGATAATATTATTATTATGTAATTATATATTCTCAAATCACGTAAGATATAATGACATTATTATTATGTAATCATATATTTTCATTATATAATCATATATTTTCGTTATTATATAATCGTATATTTTCGTTATTTTTGAGATCTCAAAATTATTGGATACTTAATTTTCATGAAATTAAATAAATATACAAGAAGCGCCAAATATCATAATTCTCTGCAATTTTTAATTTTAAACCTTTCTTAAAATTTAATTGATGACCATAGTAATCAACACCAAATATCAAAGTAATTATTAAACATATCAAATCTTTTATCATAATTTTGCAATATTAGATTATACAATTTTTCCTTCTCACCAGCAATTATTACAATCTTATGATTGTAAATATGTGATTGGAATTTACAGTATCAATCAAAGATTAACGAACGAACGTTAATTTTTCCTTTGTACACAATCTCATACAGCGAAACAGCGGATATTAACTGCCGCGTGATCGATTTAACACAAACATTTAACATAGACATATCAAAAGAGTCCGTAATTCCCGATTCACAACACCATATCGGAGGCATACTCAGGATCGTGGGAAGGTTCCGCATGACGGGGCACGTGAAAATAATTTATTACGCGAGCGCAACCGTAGTGCTCGGCCGGATAACATATTTTAACTCCGACCGTTTGTTGGATAACTTGCACTTAGACAAGTAGTCTAATTGCGAGTGTATCTCCGTCCATAATTAGCGGTTTACCGTGTTTAGTTACGATTTTGCGTTTCACGCTCCTTGTGACCTAAAGATTCTCGCCCATGATACACGCAAATCAAGATCGCGCAAAGTACAATAATTAAATAATACACAATATTTTATAAATTTTTCCTTTGAATAATAAATATTACGTATGTTGTGAATTATTGACATATACACTCGTATTTTTTTCATTTTTTTTAGCAGCGTTCTAATGTAGAAATCCTTGAACGCATATATCTTTACTACAGTTACATAACGATGCGACAGCATAAATCATCAATGGCATAACAAGCCTTACTTTAAGCATAAAATATCGATTTCTGGTTTATCTGGAAATTATTCGCGAGGATTTGATTTTAATTTAAAAATTATAATTAGAAAAATTTCTTTTGATTAAACGAATATTAAAAAATCCGGTTACTAGATGTATTCTAGACTCCAGTATCTTCATAAATAAAAATCCAAGAATCAGAAGATTTTTAAGTCTTTCTCAATATAACAAAATAAAAATTCTAAATATTTCAGAATATCTAAAGATTCGATCCAGAGATACCAGGAATAAAAAATTCAATGATTTTTCGTTGTATTAGATTTTCGTTATATGTATATATTACTAGTATATTTTTAGAATAAACCGCCGTATTCTTGTTGTTTATTCATTGAAAATTGTAAAAAAGATATTTCAGACCAACGACATCGCGATATCACCACTACGTGGTACGCTGATAAGACTCACGTGTATCGGTACCCGTATTGTATTCAGTACGCATATATCATCGAAATGCAGGCGTAAACATGACTCAACTTTTCGAAGCAATTTATTATCATTGTTATAAATATTCCGACCTTTTATGTTGTAATTTATAAAATTAATTTTTTACGTATATATTCATTATTATTCATTATTATTCATAATGTGACCTTTAAATAATTTATATCCTGAAATTACATTCTCCGTACATAAATTGAGATTCCGCTAAAAATTTTAATAGCATAGAAGCATTTAGGTCTATCGTTATATCAATTTAATTCAAATTTTTTATTAGGAAATATTTTATAAGGAAACATTTTTTACTCCAAAACGAAAAATACTCCAATTTCTCTTGCGTATTATTTCTGGAAATCTATTTCCCAATGCATTGACACTTTTGTCACACGACGATGTAATGCATCTCGATGCGTTCTAAAATGTCCTTAGATTCTCGACGATCATATATATGTGGGCCGTACGATATATAAATATACTAAATCGATAAGAGCAAATATACAACCGTATCCGGTTTGCTCACGTACAACTACGACTAAGGGGATAATAAAGTACGGATGGAGGATGTCTAACCTGCTGAATATGTCCTTTAGTTCATGCTCGGACACAAACTGGCCCAGGTTTGCCACGAAGAGGGTGGAGCACTGCGCATTGCTGACAGCTATGTTCGGCTGCGACGAGGGTGACCCGACCGGTGACGCCAGTGCTGGCGACGGTAGAAAATGAGGCAGCGACGCGTGTATCGACGTCAGCGTTGTAGGATGCGGCAGAGACATAGGCGCCTGGAAAATATATAAATACTTCCGTCATACACTCGTCTCTCGCTCCGCTTGGCCGCGTGAATAGTTGGTCTGCTCGCAAAGCGACACGTTTACGTCAATCCGCCTCGATCTTTCCCTACATTTTTGTCCCTCGACAAAAGAAATTGTACCTTTTCAAAAAGCGAAAACTAAAGTCCAAAAGTCCTCATGCAAACGCATTTTGCCAACTAAAGAGATTATCATTAGCACGTATCATTTACAAAAATATTAAAATGAGAAATATATAAAAGGATATTTAAATAGTGTTTCTATCTCCCGAACATTCTTTTTGAGACTAAAATATGTCTTTTGTAAATTTGTCTTGCTTGCATGTATTTATGTTAATGCGAATACTATGCAATAGCATTTTTTACTGCAAATCATTGTAAAAGATAGTTGTCTATCTGTTTTTAATATCAAGATTCTGCTTTTAATATATGAAAGTATAAATTAAGTTTTTTATCTATTCTACTTATGTCGATGCAAAGTTATTCCAATGATAAATGCTCCAAATTTTTTATTGATATAAACTTGTAATAAAATTAAGTGTAGCTGCACGATATAAACGCAATTATAAAAATAATTCTAGAGATAATTATAAAATGTCAGGAAATATGACACAGATTTCTCACTTAACTACAAAAATATATTTGCAACAAATATTGTTGACATGAAAAAAATGATTCTAAATCATTTACATCGAATACGTTATTAACTTATCAAAGCGCGATGACAGACTTTATCAAGTTCTCAGTTTCGTTCGAAAACGTATTTAATCAAGTAAGATATTCAACTTAATAAATTCCGACATTATTGCTAGCAGGTTCTTGGTTCGTTATCTCTTGAGTGGATATCTCGAGATTCCTTTTCGAGATTCCTTTTCTACTTCCGTTAAAGAAACGGCAAAATGCGTGTAGGGAAAAAAGAAATAATAGCGCGGCAGTCCGAGCTCGAGAGCCTTCGATTTATCAAACGTTCAATGCAACGGATTTTCTCTCTCACGCGGATAAATTCGAGAGGAATATCGGGAATCCTCTCGATTTTAGTAATAGGGATGATTTGTGTTCGAGATTTCATGGGAGTTACAAAATTGGCTTACTATGAAAGCCCGCTCGTTTCAAGATGTTTTTTCAACACGAATCTTTCAAATTTTCATATTATCATTAATATTCTTCGCGAAGAAGTAATATATATCATTTGATTTTGTTTGTAAAATTATTTTTAAAATTGCTTTTAATTTCCTTTTACACGAAAACTATTTATTTCCGCCAGCCAATTTGTTCTGCAAATATCGGCATTAAATAAGATTAAACGCGATTATTTCATGATTACTTTACTTTGACATAAAAAAAGAATTATATATATATAAAATATCACAGACGACATCACGCACACATACGATCAATAAACTACAGATCATATCGCGTTTGTACGCATTCGTGATTGTATGTCCGCGTTATTTATCCTTGTATAAATCGGTAGATAATTCGCAACTAAGTTACAGTTCGGTATTAATGCGTGACAGGTAGCTGTATAAACCTGGCACAAACTTATGCCATATTAAAAATCAATATCGCAATTTGATGAATTGGTACCATCGTTCGTACCACCAATATCTTAAAGGAGGTTGGAAGTACACTCACGCTCAAAAACTTTTCCGATTTTTCGAATTTTGATTCTTTTACAATTATTTACAATTATGATCTTATATCTCGTATTTATTAACAAATTAATAAAAATTTTGTTGAATAGATCTTGAAATAATCTTTATTAAATTTGAGTGAGAGAGAAGATAAATTCTAAAAACATTGTAAACTCTTATACAATATATATAAAAATAAAAATTTTAAATTAATTATATATCCTCATTAATATACTCTAAATATATGTATTATTCATTGACACTCATTGAACTTTCATACCTTTAGATTACTGCTAATTACCTAATATATAGCTGATCAGTATTATTTGTGAAATAAATACAAAATGAACAATTTAATTTATTAAAATCTACAGGTCCACAAGATAAAAAACACATAAATAAAAAGAAAGCTATCAGAATCAATTATTTATGATAATGTTTCATTGTATAATATAATTAGTTATATAATTAATTTCATTATATGATAATTATAAAATATTCATTAATAATTATAAAAAAACTTTTGTAAATCTGACTAAAAATATTATTAATATTTATATATACCTATTAAAGATTTTTTAAACATTTCGCTCGGTTCGTAAAACTAAAATAACACAAAATAGGCATGACGCAGACTGAATGTCGTGCTGGAAGAAAAGTAAGCCATGGATTTATTAACGTCGGTCTGCAGCGACCATAATCAATCCATGTCGCGACAAACTTCGGAAGCGTCGCAATAGTTTTAAAACTCCGCGATTTCAAGCTCGCGTGACGTAAACCCACACGATAGCAAACCACACATTTCTGTGTAACACGCGAGAACACGCAGTGCGACGACAAGTTACGCTATCGATTTATAGCGATGCAAAGCATAATGTTGGCTGATGGTACGCGCATATGCGGGATAAATATTATTTCTAATAATCCGTATGATATATTACTCGTCATGATTATTGTATTCATGTGTCAACTATATAATATTAATATAAAATGACCTATCATATATCAAATTTTAATGATGACCTTTCTGATTAAATTGCAACCGATTTTCCATAAATAAATATAGCTTTCGAATTATAAATAACAATTATAGATAATAGTTAGCTTTATAAACAATTATAGGTAACAATTAGCTTTTAAATAAAAATTAAATAAAAATGCAAAATAACAAAATCCTTTAATTTTGATTTTAATTTTATTTCGATACTCTTATAATTCGAAAATAATTATTAGCAAGATCTAATATTGAGAAACAAAGAAACTTGACTTTAGATTTGCCAAAGAATTAAGCTGATCAAGCGTGCGATTGTAGTACAAAAATTTATAGATCTAAAAAATTCATTCTTCAAAAATCAGTTTCACGAAATCTAAAAGTGCAGAAATCCAAAGATTCACTCAAAGGACTAAAATACTCAAATACTCAAAGCACTCAAAGAATTCAACATCGAAAAATCTAAAGAATCTAGGAGTCGAGGACTCAAGGCAGCCGTGATCGAAAATTTCTTCGGTCCTTAAGTCCTCATGTGTCTCCTCGTTACCATGTAAGAGTAATCGAGTATAACGATCATGTATCACTAACGTGCATCGGGGCGCTCGTCGGCGGCTCCAGAGCTTTGTCTGCAGATAGTCAAAGATAGGAACGTACGGGGACCTGAGGATGTAACGCCGGATGCACCAGCGTCGCATGTTGCAGCGTGCCCGGTAATTCGCCGGCTGTAGAATACGCCAATGGATGATGCCACAATTCAGGACCACCGGGGAAGAACGGACTCCCTAGGTCTGCAATAGAGTACAGGATTAGATAGAATTCCTCGAGTAATTAAACGCGTAGTCGCGGATTGCATTTTACAACTTACCAGGATATCTACTGACAATAAAATTACACCAATTTTTTTTACTTGTTAGACACTCTGAAAATATTATATTTATATATTTCGATTCAATACACTAATATTCTTACAAAATTAACAAATATTAATGTATTATGAATTAATAAAAATTAGTGTATATTATTAATAGTAATAATTAATTTTAAAAATTAAATAATTTTTGTATTAATTTTTGTACTATTTCAAATTTAAAATAAATTTAATTTATGATTATATTCAAATAACTTTTAACTTTTAACAAAATTGATAAAAATATTGTCACTCGAGAATTTAAGTGTAAAATGAGAAATAAGATTTTTAGAATTGTATATTAGAATCATTATATTGAAAATATAATCATTATATTGTAAATTGTATTTAAAATTGAAAATTTTGCTCAGTATATATCCTGCTTAATAAAATCATTTATTTTATTTCTTTCACATTCGAACGGCTTTTATATAAAATTTAGTTAAATATTATTCATGTATGGGACATATACTAAGCAAATGTTACATTCCTTTTTTACGGAAATATCTATTTCTTATTTTTACTTTTCTATCTCTATTTTTTATTAATCGTTTTGAGAAGCACTTCGAAAAACACTTTATATAAAAGCCACTTTCTTGTCTTCGTCTTTCCTATAAAAAATAAAACTAGTAATATTTATTATTAACAGGTTAAGATCTACGTTATCTGTGAACACAATAATCCTTTCTTAAAAAACATGTTAAATCTTTTACAAATATTATTGCCGCTTTTTCGCGATGCTAATTGTCTCGATTGGCATTGTGCGTTATATTCAGAGCATCGAGCGACTGTTATCGTGGATCGCAAAATAATTTAACAGTTTGACAGTTATTGAGATAACTGAAAAAAATTATAGTATATATATATATATAATAAATGACGCACGTAGCGTCACTTGTAGTGTCTAATAAGTCATTTAAATATCGCGTGAAACGTATCAGAGTCAAATAAAATATCGATCTTCTGACCGAAAAGATCGTGTTGATTTGTAGCTCGAATTATTTCATCGTTATCGTCGCAATATCTTCAACGAACATTCATTACAATGCGGAATATACATATAGTAATATACAGTATTATTTTGTTCTATTTGTAATTGAGATTAAATATGTTTCCGACATAAAAAATAAAACACCACGTAATTCGCATGGTAAATGTTTGTGCTAAAAAAAGAACGCGAACAAATTCCATCAACGTTTTGCGAGTCCAGCGATTATGCGATCGATAATGTCCAATTTACGAGCTTTCTTGCTAAAAGAGATGCACGAAGACGAAAGCATTGATTGCTATATTGATTACTCGAGGATTTTCGAAAAATGAACGACGGAGATTAAAAAAGAACGCGCGACGAGAGCTCAAACGTATTAAGGATTACTGTGATTTATGTGATATACATAGCTCTCAATCGCAATGAAATAATGGTTATAAAAGTCCATATAAATTGCTGTACGTTATATAATAAAGTATTTTTAAATAAAATTTTAAAAATATCACTATCTCTTAAATGTATTAAATTGAAAAATTGAACAAAAATTAAGTTATTCTTTTAATTTTTAAAATTTATGTAAAATTTTTATTTGTGTATTTTTAACAGTGTATACATTTTCTTGTAATAAGAATATATATAAATTAATAGAGAGCCAAATTACTCGGTTTGTATTACAGAAGACTTTAAAATATTTTTACTTTGCTCTCTAATAATAAGATATACATATACTTCTTCCTATAATTTAAACTTATTTCATTTGGCTCCAATTTTATTTATTTTTCATTTATAAAAACAAGTAATAAATATATTTATTTATAAAACTAATAGATTTAATTATTACTTAAGTAAAATTTAGAAACTTTGCATCTCGTGAATATTGCCGTTCGAACGAACATTGCAACGTAGATTATTCGCGGCGATGCCGGTGTAATGACACAGTATAGTGCACTATCGAGTATAATCGCCGACAGCACGGCACAAAAAAAAATAGTCTTCTCAGAAGCCAGTAAATCACTGGAGAGGGACTTATGATTAGGCGTTATGAGCCTGTGACAATGGTAAACCAAGTGTCTTCCGAGCGACTCGTCGGCGAGCCTTCATTTGCGACCTCGCAACACAAATCTCGTTACGCAATTCATAACGTTTACATCGTCTGTTATCCTCGAAGTATTTCAGCGACTATTTAATTCTAATTTTCAAACGATTTTTTTTCTTATATTAATAGATTAATAATTTAAATGCACAATTTTTTTCTGCGTAGAGAAATTCGAATGACAGAAATGCATTAGTAAGTCCTTGAATAATATTTTTTGCTTGTTCATTTCTTTCGTATCATCGTTCGTGATTGCATACTTTGGAATTTATGAAAAATAACAGCATATTATAATCAATAATGCGACTGTATATAAAATGCATCTTCCCTGCTGCGCGATTTGTCAAAAAAAATGCAATTACTGCTCCGGTATAAATTAACATAGTAGCAATAGTACAACAAGACGTTCTTTCATATAGCCTTGCATCGCGATTGGGTATCGCGGAAATCTGGCGTGACCTGCTCGTACGTTCTATCGCAATTGACTACGCAATGTCTGTTTTCGATCTCTGTTCTCGATTAAATCTGAATGAGACGAATTAGTGTTCGAAGAAAAACTTTGCATGAGACTATATGCTTCGACGTTGATTGCGATCAAACTAAAATGTACCGATGCAATATTGCTTTTCAATGATTTGTAGGCTTTAAAATTTAATTTTTCATAATTGAATTAAATCAACATTTGAGTAAAAATATTTCTCTCTTAATGCTTTTTTGCTTATAAATTATAATTATGTAATAAATTAAATTATACATTATAATAATTATCTGTATGTGTTATTAGGATTGCATTATAATGCATATCATTTTATGTTCCGAACTACATGTTCCAATTAATCAAAATCATTTCCATTATAATTCTTTGTAAATAAAATTATAAATAAAAATCTAAATTAAATTTGAAATTGTTGAAAGGATTGATTAAAACTTTCTTTTCCAAGTATAGAAATTATATCCGCAACGAAAAATCTCATTGCTCTCATTGAAATCAATTAGATATTTGTTCTTCTTAATACAGACCAATTAGATATAGCAAAAAGGTGCAGAGCAATTTAATTTTCCAAAAGTTATTCAACTATTATTACTTGAAATTTGGACCTCTCTCTTTTAGTCATTCTTTCGCAAGCGAGAAAAGACACCTTTATTTCTATCAAAACGCGATTTCTAGCCGATAGAAACTGATGCACGAACCTTTACGTGTGTACTGCACCAGTGGTGTGTTTTAGTCCCTGCCAGGACTGTGCACTTTATTGATTCTAGGCTTGACCTCCGATTCGCATGGCGAAGCATACGGGCTCGAGTAAATGCACACTGTCTAGATAGGGCCAAAGCTTTCACCGTTATCGTCGATCAGTTTTTTTTTGTTTTTTTGTTTTTTCGTTTATTTCACGAACTACGAGTGAATCCAATAAATTGAGAGACAACGCGCTTATTTTCAATTTATTCGACTCATATCAAGAGATGAATGAACTTTTTACACGAATAAATATTCATAAAAAATTGCATTCGATTGTTTAAAGAACTTAGCACATTTATATGCTAAATACACATTACAACTTATTATATGTAATGGAATCTTATTATTTATAAATAATCATATCTCTTTCATTGCTGATCAATAGTTTTCTTTGAATAACAATATCTCTCAAAAAATAATACAATTGCACAAATACATATGTGCATATATGCATATATATGTATATGTAATTTTAATAATTATTTTAAATAATATAATACCAATGAAAAATCTGTTTATGTATAATATAATAATAATTATAAAAATAATAAGACAAAAGGAGAATATCAATTGTCTCTAATTATAATATATAAATATGTTATTTTCATATTTGTTTGTGTAATTATTCATTCTTATTTATATGGTGTGCTAAACATATTATATCTCTTGATATTTATTGCTCAATGACGTCAATTGTTTATCAGTTACTTATATAATGCGTGGTTTGTTGTGATTCATGATATTTTGCATTTAAATTAGTAAAATCAATAGATCGAGTTTATAATGCTACATTTACAAGTAATTTAACAAATCTGTATGAGATATGCAAATGACTTATCAGAAACCGATAAAAACATATTTCAGGATTCGTAGTAACTTTTTGTTTCGACGATGGCATAAACCAACATCTTGAAAAATAAATAGCTTTAATAATTTTAATCAATGCGATTTCTTTTCTTTGTCATTATATCACTAATCAAATCTTGATCTGCATTCCAATTAACAAGGAAAAAGCAACTAATATATAATAAATATATACAATTGTAAATTTCTAACATGAGCAAATGCAATTGCTATGTCGCCGTTTATTGTTATTGACCACGCGAAACGTAAACTTGCAAATGTAATTATCTTTGAACACACACATGATACGCTTATATGTGAATAAGAAATAAGACACGTATACGGAAAAAAAATTTATGCAAAAGAGCAATTTCTAAAAGAGGACGAGCGCAATTTTTATATCGATTCCAACCGTCATTTAACACACGCAACTTCTACTACACGAACGATACACGTGGCCTTTCGCACGAATTACATTATGATACTTGGCATCGCGTGGAAATCAATATAACGCACATGTAGATACACATGTTATAACGCTAAATACAAATAGCGATCACTCTCATGGACAAAGTCGCGCGGAAACACTCTATGAAAAGCTAACCGAGCCTTTTTCCAGCGAGAAAATGCAAGCTGCATTCCTCCGCGCGTAGATAATGCATAATATGTCTGAGCACGCACAGCCGGTGGAAAACTCGATTACATGGTCTATGAATTTCGGAGCATAAAATCACTGTGCACAGCGTAAATCTCGAGTCTTATTAAAACATTATCATTTATTGCAATATATTAATCTTGTTGATGTCATATTTTACGCTATTACACGTAATCGTAAAATCCTTTAAATAAAAAAAAATCGTACCAAATAATATATAAAAGATAAATACTTTCGTAGATTATGAATGTGTATTGATTGTAAATTAATTTTAGATACCTTAATTATATATATAAATTAGATAATTAATTTTGTAATTGTTATAAATATCAAGCTAAAATATCAAAGTTATTCAATATAAAATAACATTTTTTTTTCAAGTTATGTGCCAAATTATGCGTCACATCAGATTTAATTTTTAACATATTTTTTATATCAAAAATTTTGCAAAAAATATATCCCTCTCTTCTAAAGATATAAATTTCTCAAATTTAATAAGATCCTCATTAAAATACGTATATTTCCAGAATATTCTGTATAATTTATCCGTATTACTATTATTAATTGCATCTTGCGTATAAAAATATGAAAGCTATTCGTACACTTAATATATTCAACATATAAAATATTAACTATCACCATAGATACAATTTGACCTGATTATTTCTTGGGACTATTCTCTTTCGAGTCCGTATTTTACCGACGAGGTGACGTTCATAAATTTTATTGAGCTCGCAGACACATAGCACATAAATTGTGATACGTAACGAAACAGAATCTCAATTTCGATTCAAAAGTAAGCTTCAAATTTTAATCTTTAGGAAATGAATACAAAGTTTCTCACTTCTACCGCATTATATTTTTATAGATTCTTCTTTTCTCAATTTTTCTTCAGGAAAGGATCAAGAATATTTATTATTATAAATTTTGATATATGTATGTTTTAGTAAATAAATAAGCTATGATGTACATATGTTTTTAAATTAAAATTTTATTAAAATAGTAATTAAAATATATTTAAAATTATAATTAAAAAAAAGAAGAGACTACATGCATGATAAAATATATATGTAATTTTAGAAACAAAATATTTGTAACGTTATTTGCTGACGAATAAAATTGCGTTTAATCACAAAACAGGTGATTAGAAGTAATTAAAAATTGCCGCAAAAACACGATTTGCATCTTTTTCATCTATTAATTTTTTATATGATCAAAGTATAAAAATTATCAATAATTCACATTTTATTATCGATGCGAAAATTGCGCACAAGTAAATGGAATGAAAATGTCACGAAATATGTGCCAAATTACATTTGTATGGTTAGTCGGAACAATAATATTCATATTTCGAGAAATAAAACAGTTGCAAAAATAATAATAAAAAATCTTAATACTTTCACTGCGGTACTTTTTTTTCTTAAGGAAAATCTGAGATTTTGTATATCATGCCAAAATAATTAAAAGCGAAGATTGATGTACACGCGACAAGATTATATTTTTATTACTAACTTATACCATTATTCTACGAAGTAGGCCATTCTTCGTGTTTAAGATTACTTCACCAGCACGCTACTATGTAAATTTATCCCAAGATACTGCTTACATTTAAATTCGATTTAAAAGCAACGAATTACTTCGGATAAATTCAAAGCCGAGGCCTTGTTTTCCGAAATACAAACAGAAGGAACGAGCAAAGTTTCAACGAATATAACTCTGGGAATTTCGGAAAGTGTTGGCAACAACAAATTCCGAAATCTATCAACCTACAAAGCATTTATAACTTTCATATTTCTCTCAATTACATGCATATTGTATCTAAATAGACAGCAAATCATACACAATACTCTCTCATTTTTAAATTTATTTTCATAATTACATTTCTTACCGAGTTTTTGTTAAAAAAAAGTCAAATTCATATTCGTTGAAGAAGCTGTCACTTATTTATATTATTCGGTATAAAATATATAAAATGTTAGACAATTATATAATTTAAAAATATTATATTTCATAATATAATATAAAAATATTTTTTAAATTGCTAAATTAAATAATATTTGGTTAAAATTGTCTATTACATTGTCTAACAACATCATAAATAATTTTGCAAGAAACTACCATTTGACTAATTAAAAATTATGGCACGAAATAAACTTCTACTAATTATTTCTAAAATTTTATTTCCAATTTTTTCACGAAAGTATCTCGTCGAAGATATGTTTGGCAGTTCGATTATGTCTTATTGACGTGACTTGGTGTGCGGGGCGACGAAATTGGGTCATCGTACGAAATTGCTACCACCTAAACCGAAATTATTCCGCGAAATTTCCCGATGCTAAATACGGTCTATTTGCGCGATATTAAGAATTAGCAGCTAATCCCAGCCGAGGCTAATAGTACCGGTGGTACCACTAATTTTTAATCGATTAAATAATTGTTCTTTACTATCTAAAATTCGAAACACACAGACTATATAAGTGTTTAGGTTATTTTATAATCTACGAAAAATATTATTTGAGAAAACGTTTTTAACACCTGCAAGTAACAGATATTTATAAAATCTCTCTCATTTTTTAATTTTATTATATGAACCATTATAATCATTTGATATCACTCGAATCCATTTGTCTCATTAATGTTGATAATAAATGGCGAAAATGATATCAAATTGCGTTCAAATATTATAGAAAAATAAAGACGATCTTTTATATACGATACAAAAATCAGACGACGCGCGTGCGACAGTAAGATTTATCGCAGCCGTAGTTTCTTTGAAAACTGATGCGCTTTACCCATCCGGTAAGTCTGTTTCCGCAATGTGACACAAATACATATTTATTACGCGCGTAAAACGCACACACGCACGCAGCTCGTAAACATATAGATCTCTGAGATTTATTCAACTTTATTCGTACTTTATTCTTTTCATACTATTCTCCGCGATCGATAAAAAATATATATATATGTATACCATATTACCCCGATTCACACCCGTTCACGGTCGCATCTTTCTTTTGTTTTTATTTAAA